CTGAATATAGAAATTCCAAATATTCCATCAAGTCTTTAACTGTTTCACAATGGCCAACTAACCCAAGCACATCCCCATCAATTGAGTTCCGGATTTGGAGGAATAGTCGAGCATCATCCCTCAACCACACTTTCTTAGTAGTTGCATCCTTAGGAGGATCATCAGTCATATGATCGTCCTTGTCAGTACTTCGGAGATATAGTTTAATAGTCGTAACCCATTCCAGATAATTAGAGGAATTAAGTTTCCTCTCTGATCGGCAGAGGAAGACAGAGCAAAAATCACCCACTGAATGTCCAAACTGAGTCTGCACAGGTGCTTAGATGACTCAGGCGACCCTGACAGTGATTTTTTACAGTGGATCTGACGTGAGGTCTCCAACGAAGGAGAGATTCTCCAGAATTGTTCTCCTGCAACGTGCGACTCCACCCACGGTGGCGGTGACGTCAGGCGAGCACCCTTAGAGACAGCGTCAAAATGGCAGATGCCCCCCCCTTTTTTTTACAAATAATGAACCCTAACCCTAGAGCACACTGGCTCTGATACCATGTGGCTGATAATCAGAGGTTTTCCTCATAATACATAATTACATATAACAAAATGACTATATATATACATAAGAAGGGTGCTAATATAAGGAAACTATATCTCCCATATTAATGCCTAAATCACCCATATTAATGGCCAAATCAGATCCTGCCTTATTCTCAGGACTTAACTAAAATACTAATATTATTACTAATAACAAAAAGGTAATATACACTATAATTCTGGTTGTGTTTAAAAGATAAACTTAATATAGTTAACTTCGAAACACTGTCAGAATAAGTAAAAATACTTGTGAGTTTCTACTCTGTTCTTCATTGGCTCTTCAATGTAATAACAAATAAAATGCTTCTTCTTCTCGTGGAAAATCTATATGCAGACAGTTCAAAAAATAAAGATCTGTTGTGATTTTTATACATTTGGATTACAGATGACTTAATAATGATGATACTGGTGCCTCAAATATAAGAGAAATAAGGGTCTACTTATTCTTGTGTTCAATAAATGAGAACAACACACATCTTTTGGTGAAGGTCTTCAAGTTTGGCATTATGCAGAGCTGCAGGTAAATGGCATTATAAAGTACAAGTTCTTGGCATGCTTTAAACAATTGTGTATAGATGAGCCAATGATGAAGATACCTTGCCAGAATGGTCACAATCGCCACCATGATAGTTCAGCCTACACATATCACCCTCCAGTTTGTGAATTTTCCCTGCTCCCTCATGTTCAATTCCATTATACATTTGATAAGGCAATCAGAGAGGTGTCTCATTAACATCTAAAGAAATATAGGATTCATATCAAATCTAGTAATTTGAATTGAGGTTATAAGACACCTCATACGATGACTAGAATATAAAAAAATCAAATTTGGCACAAGTCCTTAATATCAACTCTTCGTTTTTTTTGTCATTTTACTCAATAAATACATTAACCCAATAATAAATCAAACTCTTCCTATTTGTAATATATAGGCAATTTATCAATAACCATCTCCTAAAAAATGATAGATTGTAGATTATTTAACCTTGAAGAATTACCAGAACTTTGTGGAGAATCACATGAAATTACATATGTTGAAGACCTGAGTACATATTCTCCAAGTTCACAGCATCTCTCTCCTGCAAGCAAATATGAAAAAAAATCACAATCACGAAAAAACAATTTTTAAATAGATATTTATTTAATTTCAACCACTTGCACAATTTTTAAATAGAGAAACCTCTAATACCATATGTTGATCTTCTGCACTACTTCCTTGACCGTAAAATAAATTGATGAGTATTTAAAAAACAGAAGAAAAGAAAGAAGTGCTGAAGATGAACATAAAGTCACTTGAACAGCCAATATCCAAATTATGAAAGACTCATTTGTTTCCCCATCCTGCAAATCATATAGCCGATTATTCCCACCACACTCTAACTGAGAAAAAGATAAGTTATGAATTAACATTCTGCAGGCTCCCTGCCTTTTATGAAGTCTAATGGTAACCATGACAAAAGATCCTTACTAGTAAAACATAAAATTGGGTAGAAGAGAAATTAGAACATGATCAGGCAATGTACTTCTAAACCAAATAAAATGACTTATTTTATTCTTGCTTTAAATTGTTTGAGTAACCAATGAGATTGAATCCAAAATAACTGGACTTTTTTTCAAGCCATAATAGTCACCCTTTAACACAAAATAAAAAAAAAGTCACAACTTTGATAAAATTCTGATTGACATATAGGTACTAATATAAACCTATACCAAAGTATAAAATCTGATGAAATTTTACATGGAGTCTATGAAATAAAAATAGATAAAGTTTTAAAAGAAAAATTTTACCTAGACCTTTAAAATGTGGAGACCCAAAAGACCAAGAATTGATTTGAATTATCAAATTTATGATTATAAAATTCATGATATTGAAAATATTTGGTGTTGGATACTCTAATTTATCATTTTGGAAGTCAAAATATCAAAAATATGAAATATGTTTTTAAGGAAAATAAAATTTAAATATTAAATTAATCCAGTAGTACCTAGAGACCTGAATCTTCTTCTCTGCGCCATGACGGAATGAACACTCGGCCAACGTCGTCCGCGCCCTCAGTCGTCGTCCTCAACTGGGCCTAGGGTTTAAAGCCCTAAGCCGGCGACGGTCCCGCCGAAGTCCAGCCAGCCGCATTGTCCAGCCACCCGAATCGTGCGCACCATCAGTCACCTTCATCGCTTGGCTTGTTCGTGTCATAATTTTGGAAGGATGACATAGTTAAAAGAATTGGAAAATAAAAAGCAAAAGCCACTCATTTTAAAGGAAGCAAAAATATACTCTCTCCGTCCCCCTAAGATGTTCTCATTTTGACTTTTAGTGTTTTTTAAGAAGAGTTGAAAAAAGGTGAAAATTTACCATAATATCTTTAATGAAATATGGGTGGAGTGTATTAAATGAAGTGGATGAGGTGTAATAAATAAAGTAAGTGGGGTAGTTATGGTATTTTAATTGTTAAAAAATGAAATGAGAAGATCTATTGTGAAGAAATAAAAAAGGCTATTGAGAAAATCTATGGGGGACGGAGGGAGTATTTAATTGTATGAAATAATAATCAAATTGTGGACTTCATCAAAGATGGGGAAAGAATGCATCTTTGTAGCAATGAATGGAATTGCATTCATTGAATATCATCATGGGATGATACTTCTTGAAATATAACCATGAAAAGTGAACATCGACAAAGAAGAAGAAAAACACAATTTCATTTTTTGTATTTGGTGTTGGAATAACGCGTGCCATTACTCATAACTCTGTATTAATATCACATTGTCCACTCTAGATCAAATTCTTACAAATTTGTTTTTACACACCTCCAAACACGCATCATACAAATGAGCTGAGTTGGTTGAACTTGTTTTTTGATTTCCTTTTTCCTCTTTCTTCGGTGTGGGACTAGGTTGCATCTTAATAATTGCATTATTGCATGCTAAGTTGAATTGAAACATGAAGTTTTATATTTGAGATGGATGAAAGCAAAGTGATATTGATTTATGGTGGTGGATGAATCTGGAGAAGATTATAAATTGTGAGAAGCCATTGAGGCTGCGTTCCATTTGCCTGATCTGATCTTATCTGATTTTTTGAAGATCTGATCTGGTGTGATCTGATATGATCTGATATGATTTGGTCTGATCTTGTCTTGTTTGATCTGATTTGATCGTAGTTATAATAAAAGATATTTCTGATTTGATATTATCTGATTTGATTTGATTTAGTCTAGTCTGATCTTATCTGATCTGATTATAATAAGAACAAGTAATAAACAAAAAAGTTGAACTGAACGCTGCGTGGATGATGCGCACAATGAAGAAAGCAAGATGGGAATTGTTGGCGTATTGGTAATAATTTGTTTTTAGCTTATGAGCTACTATACTTATAAGTCAAATATTCTTTCGTGAAAGTCAAATGACTTAAATGATAGATAAATCATTTGAGAATTAATTATAAATAGTGAGAAATAGTTTTGTAAATTATCTGCTTAAAATGAAGAAACGGAAAAAATTGACTTAAATGTATATAAGTAAAACCTACTTATTTTTTCAAGTTTATAAGCAGCTTATAAGTCATAGAAAATTTTTTGGAATTTCTTCGAATTGATAATCGCAGTCACCATCCCAATAGGAAATCGTAGCATCCATCGCCAACCCAAAATAGTTGATGCCATCCCCAAGCAAGTTCACTATCGTCCATATCATGCACCATTAGGCTTGATTTTTTCCGAAAGAACCCAGTATACTTGGAGGTTGATTAATTGTGCTTTATTTTTTGTACAACTCGATTAATATTTAATAATAGGGTTGAATTTATTTTTTTTGAGAAATAACTGGGTTGACTTCATTTAGTTTATCAAATACTTCGTAATGATAAGTATATCATACAAGCAATTATAAAAAGAAACATTGCAACTATGGTATTATTTTTGACAAACTTATTTGGCACTTCTCAAATACTTCTTATAAAATTAAATTTAACTAAAATTGTTTGCTTATTTTTAGTATTTCTTCACTTTTTATTTATAGAATTTTTCATGTATGTTTTATTATACCCGAACATAAATTTCATACCTATAATTAAATAAATCAAAATAAACAAAAATTTGTCAAACCTCATAATAATAATAATAGAAAAATTAGACGCAGGAAGTAATTTTTTTACACAAGAGAGGGAGGGAGTATTTAATTGAATTAAATTTCGAGAATTGGCATTGGAATTTGGCAGTGTATTATTTATCACACTTCTAGCGGAAGATTGGTCTACTTACTATAATTAATCACAATTTAAATTTCAAATTCAATAACCTAAGTATGGAATGTGATTTACTTGCCGTGTTCTCGCTTTCGCTTTCCTTCTCCAAAAACGCCGTCGTTCTCCAGGCACTGTAACGATCACTTCCATATCTAAGCACAGCCTGGGAAAAGAGCAGCAGAATCACTTCGACGTAGAGAGAGAAAGAGAGGGCAAAGAAGGGAGAGTGTGAGAGAGGTGGGGCCCGCTGATACCATCGGGTTTAGAAGAAGAATTCTCCGGGTTCTGTGAATTCTTTTGGGATTTGGGCTTGGTTGATCGGCGGAGGATGGCGAGTCCGCAGCCGTGGAGCCACCGTTTAGCCTTGACTCCGGGAACACCTGTCACTCCTGCGCCGGGTTCTTCCGCCGGAGCTAGGGCTTTGACTACGCCGTTGACTGATGAGTTGATCTGGAAGAAGCTTCGCGAGGCCGGGCTGGACGAGGAGTCCATCAAACGCCGCGACAAGGCCGCTCTAATTGCATATATTGCCAAATTAGAATCTCAGGTTTGTCCGATTCCTTTTCAACTTCTCTTCGCCTATTTTGTTCCCTTTTTCTTGATGTTATTACTTGCCCAATTCTCCCTGATTGATTGTTTCATTTAGAATCGCTATTTTCTTGCTAATCAGTAAAGAAAAATTCCAAGGGTAAATCAATAAATTACCATGTAAATTGGGTTTTGCAATTAGTGATTCAATTAACTCGAATTCAATAGTTACTTTGGTTTTGTGATCTCTCTTTACAATGGTTTCCGATGAATCCGAAATAGGAAAAAGAAAAATCTTGGAACTTTAAAAACCTTTCTAAATTTGGGGTTTTAGTTTTTTTTTTAAATTAGGTTTTGGTTTTGTGCTAATTGCTTCTTCTCTGATCTGTTTCTATAGCTGTATGACCATCAGCATCATATGGGATTGCTTCTCATGGAACAGAAAATGTGGGAATCAAAATATTCAGAACTGGTGGCCACGGCAGACTCGGCTCAGTTACTGTATAAGAGGGAACAGGCTGCACGAATGAAGGACGTGGCAGAAGCCAAGAAACGAGAAGATAATCTGAATAAGGCTCTTGGTATTGAGAAAGAATGTGTAGCTAATGTAAGATCATAATTCATTCATTCATCTTTTCTAGCACATACACATACACACACAGGAAGTTGTTTCTTTCATTTTTTTAACAGGATGTTTTTTGTTTTGCAGATTGAGAAGGCGTTACATGAGATGCGAACAGAATATGCGGAGGCAAAAGTTGCAGCTGAGGCTAAATTGACAGAAGCTCGAAGTTTGATGGAGGATGCTCAGAAGAAATACACAGAGGCAGAATTAAAGCTGCACACTGCAGAATCCTTGGAAACAGAAGCCAGAAGATTTCGTTGCACTGCAGAAAGAAAATTGCGTGAAGTTGAAGACCGAGAAGATGACCTAAGAAGACAGATCTTATCATTCAAGTCTGAGTACGTTTTTTTCTCTGAAAAGCTTTGCTTGTTATTCTTTTGTGCTGTGATTTCGTAATGTTTAGTAGTTTAATGCATTTTGGTCTTTTTTATTGCACCTTACTGTTCTCCCAGTTTTTCTGCATTATCTACATTTATTGAGTGTTTAGTTCATGTAGTGTGCGATTATCTTCGATATAAGATTACTGTGTGTATGAGAATGCAGGATAACAAGAGTATTTAATTATCTTAAGTCCTTTCGTTTGTAGATTATGGCGTTATTACTTGTATTTTCAAATTGTCACGGACAAATTCATAATGGTCTAAAGGTCGGTTCGGTAAGCAAAGCAGGGTTGATATGATATGTATTTTGAAATCTAAAATGGAAGTTTATGAGAGATTTGAAATGATAGTTGTTAGTGATAGTTAGTAGCTCTCAACTACGGTAGTGGTGGTGGCCGGCAACAGTGATGGTGGGTGGTTTTTGGTTGGTGGCAGGGGGTGGCCGATGATGGTGGGTGGACTGTGGTTGACGGATATATCAAAACACCCGGCTTGACATCTCCCCAATTCAAGAAATATCAAAACACTCCCATTTGATATCAAATGATACTAAATCCGAACCCTGTTTCGGTTTCACAAACACCCACCAAAGGGTTCTGATATCGCACTTACAATACAAACAAAAATGAAGGCAAACTAATTACCACCTAAACCAAATAAAGTTAAGTTGCATAACCTTGACTACATTACCTAAGCAATGTCATATGAACTGAACCAGATGCCCCTTAGTTCTTCCATGGTTGTATGATCAGGCCATTGGTCATTCTATATTGGAGTCCATTTTTGCATTCAATCTTCCTTATGTCCATATGTCTGATCTCTTAAGGTTATGTTATGGTGGACTTAAAAATTGCTTCTTTTTGCATCTTCCTTGTTCAGTTGTGATGCCAAAGAGCATGAGATTGACCTCGAGAGACAATCATTGTTAGAGAGGCATAAAGCTCTTCAACAGACACAACAAAGTGTACTTGATGGGCAGGCATTGCTCAACCAAAGAGAAGAACACATCCTTAATAGATCTCAAGATTTGAGCAAGTATGAGAAAGAGCTGGAGGATGCAAAGTCAAACTTGGAAAATGACCGTAAAACCCTAAATGAGGAAAGACACAACCTGGAACTAAAGGCCGCATCTTTGTCCAACAGAGAAGAGGTCAGATTTACCCTGCCACACACCCTCCACCTTTGCTCTTTCTTCCCTTCTTGCAAGAGTTAAATGTTATCTCTATGTTTGCAGGAAGCTGTTAAAAGAGAGGTTGACCTTAAACATAAAGAGGAATCACTGCTCCTTTTACAGAGAAAGATTGAAAGCAGAGAGTTTGTAAGTTTTTGGCTCACCTCATTTTAATTGCTTGTTCTTGTTGCAATCATCAGATT